CTCTACTTCTCTCTCGTTTCAAGCAATCATCTATCTATCTATCTGTTACAAGTTTAACAATAGCAATGCCAATGCTTCATTATTATCTGCACACAAGCATTCCCTCTCTTATATCTCCAACCTCCTATCGGTCCACAAGAATCAGTGTTTAAGAAACGTTTCCAAATGCACAGGTAAACCTTAGTGACGCCAATGATTCCGATGTTCTCTGCATAGGAGGTCGTACCATTGCCGGTGCCCCAGATGCCAGCCAGGAGACAACCGAGTCCTTCAGTGCCAATGCCTCGGTTGACAGCGTGTATAGGAGGTGGGGGAGCCCCTGGAAAAGCGAGTTCCTTTTACATGGATTGCATTATATAAGTCAAGGTTCTACTTTTTAGAATATTGAGGGAAGCCATTATTATTAATCTCACATAAAATGAGTTTTGTAATGATATGTATGATATCCATTTTTTGCAAGAAAGCTCCCTTTGTAGTAACATACCCTGTGGTAGCTGCATATTTGATAGAAATTCGTAATTTTCCTACATATTATCAATAATTAGCCATATCATGTATACACCGTAATGTATATGTATAAAGTGTGTAAAATAATCATGTTAAAAATCATTTAGGCAGTCGTGAAACTATTTGCTATTTCCCATCTCCATTTGAAGAATTACTTCTAACTTTCGAAATATATTGATATTTCAAAAGTCCCTTTCCCTTCACCCGCGACTCACCTGCCAACCGTGCGCATGCGTAGTAGTCCCCAACGCTCTCGACTATGGACGCAAACACCCCCGCCAGCATCCCCATCACGCCCGCGGGGGTTACCGTGGGCAGACCCCATTGGCCTGGAACGAGAAGGCCCTTTCCTCTTTCTTCTTCTTCCGTATTTTCGCTATCTTAGTGTTTGTTATTTCTTGGTATGTGTTCTTTGTATCAAGAAAATGGTTTATATCACTTTCAAGAGACAAGGAGGAAAAGGAACGCTTATTGAAAGGAATGGATGGATGGGTCCAGACTGGCGTAGAATAATGATAATAATATGAAATAAAGGCAAACAAACAAACAAGCAAATACGAAAGGTAAATATTCTGGAAGAGGTTTTAATTATTTTTTTCTTAACCCTCTCTCTTTCTTTGCCTAGCCTTTTCTCTTCTTTGTGATATTGTATTTGATTGTGTCTATCTGTCTGTTAGTCTGTCAGTCTATCGGTTTCTCTGTCAGTCAGTCAGTCAGTCAGTCAGTCAGTCAGTCAGTCAGTCAGTCAGTCAGTCAGTCAGTCAGTCTGTCCGTCTATATATCTATCTATCTATTTGTCTGTCTGACTGACTAACTGACTGACTGACTGACTGACTGACTGACTGACTGACTGACTGACTGTCATATATGTACGAATTATCCATACACACACACACACACACACACACACACACACACATATATATATATATATATATATATATATATATATATATATATGTGTATGTATGTATGTATGTATGTGTGTGTGTGCGTGTGAGTGTACACATGCATGTGTATATATGTGTGTACATGCATGTATGTACATGGTATAAATCAACCTACTCCATAAAACTCAAACTAAAAGCACGAGTTCCTCCCACGCCCCAGCTGGACCGGCCAGCCCTTCGCCCCAGCATCCTCTGCCCGCTCCGCACCTGGGTAGGGGACCCTGAACCAAGGGGAGCTGGCCACGAGTCCTGCCGCGGCGTCCGAGCGAGCCCTGCTGCCCTCGGGGATGACGCCCGCGAAGGTCAGCGCAGCACAAAGCGCCCACGATGCCAGGATGGCCAGCAGCACCTGCCCGTTGAAGAACCAAGTCAGGATTGGCTTTCGTCTTATCAAGGCGCTGTTGTTTTATCAGTGTTGTTTGTTATTCAGGAGGAGCAGCAAGAGGCGATGGGGGAGGCGGAGGAAGAGGAGGAGGAGTTGAAGTAGGAGCAGGAGTGGAAGAAGGAATAAAAAATATACTGATAATAATGATGATGATGATAATGATAACAAGAATAATGATGATAATGATAATAATGATAACAAGGATGATGATGATAATGATAACAATAATGATAATGATAATGATAACAATAATGATGAGGATAATGGTAACAATAATAACGAATGGAGGAGGAGGAAGAAAGGGAGAAAAAAAGGAGAAAGAAGAGGAGAAGAGAAAAAGGAGGGAGAGGAGCAAGAAGAATAGAAATATGAGGAGAAAGAGAAGAAAATGAAAAAAAAGACGAGAGCAGAGGAAATGAGAAAAACTGTAATAATCATGATAATGATACTGGTAATGTTGGTGATATCAATTATAATAATAATGACAATGAAAATAATATTAAAACTACTACTACTACTAAGGAAAATAGTAACAAAAAATATATTGATGTCAATGATAATAATAATAATAATAATGAAATAATATTAAAACTACTACTACTACTAACGATAAGAATAAAAAATGATAATGAAAATGATAATGATATCAATGATAATAATAATGATAATGATATCAATGATAATGACAATGATAATAATAATGATAATGATATTAATGATAATGACAATGATAATAATAATGATAATGATATCAATGATAATGACAATGATAATAATAATGATAATGATATCAATGATAATGACAATGATAATAATATCAATGATAATGATAATGATAATAGAATACTACTACTACTAACGATAATAATGACAAAGGAAGTGATAACAATAACGATAATAACAATAATAACAATGCAGATAATAGTAATGACAATGCTTCCGCCACGAAGAACCGAAGCCCATCCTCACCGGAAAGAGCTTGAACACATACAGCCTGGCGGAGGAGAGTCCCTTGGCCCTGCTGTAGGTGGGCACCGGAACGCCGACCTCCCTCAGGTACTGCGAGAACAGGACCAGTAGTGCCATTGTCCTGGGATCGACACGGAACATGTTAGTCGCAGGGATCCGTGAGAAGGATTTTTTTTTAAGAAAGAGGATGTGTTTATTAAAGACTGAGTTACGGTACGGTAGTTTTCGTTATATTGTGTTTAGGATTGTGTTTCGTAATACAGTTTTCGTTATATTGTGTCAAGGACTGTGTTTCGTAATGTAGTTTTCGTTATATTGTGTCAAGGACTGGTTTCGTAATGTAGTCTACGTTATATTGTGTTTAAGACTGAATTTCGTTGAGATAACCAAAATACATACACACAAACGTTAATCTATAGCAATTTTATATGTTATCTGCCTATGTATCTGTCCATCTATTTATCTGTCTAGCCGTCCGTTTATTATTCTGCCTATCCATTCATCAACAGATTTGTCTGTTTACCTCTCTACAGAACTACCTATGCATGTGTGTATGTATCTATGTATATAGATGTCTATCTATCTATCAATCTTTCTGCCTGTATACCAATCTATTCACCTATCTATCTATCTATCTATCTATCGATCTGTCAATCTACCTTTCCAATATATACCAATCTATTTACCTATATATTTATCTATCCATCTATGTATCTACCTATCTACCCATTTATCTATCCACCTACACACAAAAGAGCGTATCTTACGTGCCCGAGATGCCCCAGTGCAGCGACGCCTTCTGGGCCGCGACCTCGGAGAGCGAGAGGCCCACCAAGGTGACGGTGGGCGTGATGACCAGGGGCGTGATCCAGCCAATCAGAAGGCCGATCAACCCTGAAACGAGGGAGCGGATTAGCTGGTCGAATTAAACTTCTTTCGGGAGGAATGTTTGTCGACGCCCCTCCTTTTGTGAGACCAAGAGAACATGAACGTCTGACATCGGGAGATCGGGCTTTGGTTTGAGATAAACTGTTTACACACAAACATACGTGTGTGTATGTATATATATATATATATATATATATATATATATATATATATATATATATATATATATATATATATATATATGTATGTATGTATGTATATATATATATATATATATATATACATATATGTATGTATATATATATATATATATATATATATATATATATATATATATATATATATATATATATATATATATATATATATATATATATATATGTATATATGTATGTATTTGTGTGTGTGTGTGTGTGTGTGTTTGTGTGTGTGTGTGTGTGTGTGTGTGTGTGTATTGTTCCTCACCCGTGAAGCCGACGAGGATCTGCACGACGGCCGATACGGCGATGGCGCCCTGGATCTCTCTCATGCGCTGCTGCCAAACCTCCTGCCTCTGCGCCTCCGTCAGGTCCTCGGGCAGGGCGTCGCACGCCTCGTAGCGGGTCGAGATGATCGCTATCGTCGGGACGATGAAGCTGGCCGTGCCGCCCTGCACGATCGGGAGTCTGGGCAAAGGGAGTTTCGGTGTCATGTCTTGGTTTCTGACTCAGGGAGTTTGTTTCATGGCTCTTGGCTGGAGTGGACTGCAAGAAGAAGAAGAAGAAGAAGGAGAAGAGGAGAAGAAGAAGAAGAAGAAAAAGAAGAAGAAGAATATGAATGCAAAAGGGGAATAGCGTATGTGTCTGAATGCAGAAATGAACTTTCAGGTGTTACCTTGATGTGCAGAGACATAACCTCATCCAAATATATGAACGTACGCACACACGCAAACACACACACGTAAAAACACATGCACGTAAAAACACACACACATACACACGCAAACACACACACACACACATCTTTACACTCAGACCGCCCCTCCCCTCCCCTTTGCGTGCACACATAATCATCCGACGTACTCCCCCCCCCCAAACATCCCTTCCACTCCCTCCCCCCCCCAAACATCCCTTCCACTCCCTCCCCCACACACCCCATACCCATCCCAACCCCCCTTTTCTGCGCCCGCACCTCCCCCCAACCCCCAACCCGCACCCCAACACCTCAACCGCAACCTATGGCCCTCTTCTCTAACGTCCCTTCGCCCACACTCCATCCTCCTCCCCTCCCACAAAACCTACGCCTTATTTATCTATTTTCCT